CACACACACACACACACACCAGATTTTTTTTTTTTTAGTTGTACAATTAAAATAGGTTTTAAGATGATAAGCAAGGGCCAACCTGGTCTACATAGCAAGGCTACACAGTGAGACTCTGTCTAATTGGTGAAAAAAAAAAGGCAAAACATTAGACTGAGTGTGGTGGCACATGCCTGTGATCCAATACTATACTCAAGCAGCTGAAGCAGAAGGATCACTGCATGCCCAACCAGCCTGGACCATGTAACAAAATCCTCGAAAAAGAAAGTATGCCCCAAAATGGTAAATTTTAAGTCATGGGTATTAAGCATGCATAAAATTATAACTCACTTTAATAAGACAAAAACAATGTTATTCTTAACTTAAGATACAGGGAAAGTAAAAGGGGAAAGTCCTTTTGAATCATCCCAGCTAGAATCAACTGTCATGGCAAAAATACTCAGATACTCTGCAAAAACTATAATAAATCATTTACCACTGTGACCTTTTAATTCATGAAATTATGGCTGAATGAAGGCCTCAGTACAGTAATAGTATACAACCTGTAGACACACACAGTAAGAGCCTTTCAAGTCAGAACCAGGTGGAAGTAATGAATGAGGATTGGCCACTCACTGTCTCCTGGCAGGAAATGGAATGACACCAGCCCAACATTAGCTCTCTATTCTGGTTATTCATGTTGGATTGTTAATGGCTACATTTGCATAGCTCCAAAGCAAAAACCGAATATGCCCCTCCTTAGAAAATGAATTTCACTGTCTGGCTAATTCCCTATTTGAAACCATCACTGAACATAAATCTTTGAACTAAACTAACTTTTATAGGCATGTTAGTGTGCCACCAGTTCAGCACAACCCATAGAACATTCACACCTCAAATGAGAATATCTAATTTTAAATACATACTATAAACTTCTGATTTCCGGTCCTCAATTCAGTTATTCAGTATAAAGGCAAACTGGCCACTTTGCAATGTCTTAAACATGTGTTTCCTTCAATAAACAACTTTAGAAAGTAACAATTTCTCTTAATTAGCTAAAACTCTGAAACAGCCGATTTTAGTACCAGTTCTATGTTGCCTGCCTACAGTGTCTTCAGAAATAAATTCCTGTTTGCTCTACATAATATTAATCTATAATCACCATCACTAACATTTTGTTCCCAGTCACTTGTTACTGTATGCCCTATCATACCAGCACAGAAGACCCCACAGTCAGCCTGGGCTATAGAGTGTAATCCTGCTCTAAAACTCGAAAACATTAAAACAAAAATATCAAAATCACTTAAGAGACTGGGGATGATGAAACTGTTAGTAGAGTGCCTAGAGGAAAAACCTGAGCTCACTACTCATTATCACATAAACTGGTGTCGTGCTGAGCACCAGGAATCTTGGCATAAGAGGTGGAGGCAGGAGGATCAGAAGCTCAAGGTTGGGTTGTAGCCCAGCCTGCCATACATGACAAAACACTTAGGGACAACACCATCAAGTCATAGACTTCAGACAAGTGAATCCTAGTCTTCCCAACTCCTTCACAAGACTCTTACAGGTCACCTGCTTTGTGGGGAAAAAACTGGATAAATCTCTCTTCTAAATGACCATTCTATTTCCTTGGTTTCTCAGTTCGAAAAAAATGAAAAAAAGAAATAATTCTTTTGGTGTTTTAAAATTTCTAAAGACACCCTTTGACAACTTTCTCACTTGGTTTCTGCCCTTGCTCATTCTAGTCCTTTAGTCAATTTTCTTCCAAAATGAGACAACAAAATAAAAAATGCTCACTTGAGCTATGACCATACAGAAAGTGCCTCTTATCTTCTCAGAGAAAACTTTGTATCTCCCCTTGCAGTAGATACTAGATCACCTTGCTTGGAAAATTCTACTAGAATACTTTTATAAAAGAATATCTCACTCTAAAGCCCTGGGTGATCTAGAACTCACTCTGTAGACAATGTTGGCCTCGACCTCAGAGAGAATCAGCCTTCTAGGATTAAAGGTGCACACCAGCAAACAGAGCCAAATACATCTTTTGCTTATTTTTTCAGGCAGGAATTCCTGATGTAGCCTGGGCAATCTCAAAGTCACTCAAATCCTCTTGCCTCCACCTCCCAAATGCTAGAAACTCTAGAACATACCACCACACCTGACTGAATGTTGTTTATAAACTCCACAATCACTGGTTGAATTTTCCTTCGTAGCTTCTGAAATAGCACAAATGGTTTATGCCATAAAGGTATATGTGCCAAAAGCACCTTACTATTAGCAACACCCACTTTCAAAGTCACTACTACAACAAAACATCCCAGATCACTACAAATCGTTTTAAATTACATTTTATGCGACTCCTGGTTTAAAGCAATTTTCAAAGATAACCAAATAAACAAGTACTTTGATCTAAAACAGTTACTCAAAAATCCTGGAGAGATATTTCCCTTACAGGCCCTCCACCACACCATGAACCTTCTAGCCTGTCACAATCAGATATTTAGTTTCTGTTTGCAGGAAAGAATATGCATCTTTTTTATTTTATTGTGTGTTTATTAAAATCAAAAAGCATTGACTAAGTTCCCCAGAAGAAATTCTATTCTCTTTCTCAGAAATAATCAGGTATTTAGCCTTAAAAAGCTAATTTCCAAATTTTGCTAATCTTAATATTATTAATTCCATGCTAACTAATATATCTCACACTGGATTATTTTAGAAATCCACAAAAAGTTTACCTTTTTTGAATCTCAAGCAAGTACCAAACTGAAATTATATCAAATTTAAAAAACCAGAAAGCTTGGAAGCAACTTAATTTTTGAGATCACCTTGCCTCCACAGGCAGTCAGACTCTGTTCCCAGCACTCAGGAGGCAGAGGCAGGCAGGACTCTGAGCTTGAGGTCAGCCTGGCCAGCCAAAGTGACATAGTGAGACTCTTTCTCAAAAGTCAAAATATCTTAGGGAAACATGGACCGTGTAGAAAAATAGGAAGTTAGATTACTAGCCCCAAAAGCAGTGGTATCTGAGGCATAAGACCAGAAAGCAGACCAACCATGATTACCTAATTTTTTTTAAAGCATATGACAATTTATCAAGGCTAAAAAGAACAAAAACATACAAAACAAAACAAAACAAAATTAAAAGCATTAAGAGAGGTTGGTGGGAACTAGAGTTCCATCAGCTGGCATTACTACAGACCCTCACTGTAGCTCCTGTAATTTGAATTTTACTTAGATAATATTCCCTGACGGGGCAAATAAAAAACTAAATCTGATTTCTCACCTTTTCTAATTACTATTGCAAAGAATAATTTTCTACTATTTTGAAACTGTTCAAAGCTTTTTGAGAAACACACACAAATAATTTGGATTTAGTTGATTTTATTTACAGCTTTTTTTTTTTACATTTCAATGCATTACACAATTACATTTCTCATTTTCTGACCTGCAAACAGATTACCTTAAATGGAAATGCTTCTTAAAACTATCAAATTAGGTACATCCAAAATGCAACAATTACACATGACATTAATTCACAAATTAATTACTAGGCCTGTCCTAAGAATTTAGGAACAGCCAATCAGGAGAAATCTGACCAAATTTTCACTCAATTATGTATATACCCCAACTAAAACCTATCTAATCTCCCAACCATAAGTCCAAAAGTTTGTTATGTCCTCATTGGACAAGAGAGTGGTAACTCAAACCTATCCAGTCTTAATTTTCATCCCAAATACTGGGCAATGTGTATAGCAGGCTCTATACCTAAACAGTAAGCATCCCAATTTGTCATAGCAAGCATCTCAGTTTGTCAAACACCTAATATCAAACTTTTATACCATTATGTGCATAGAAAGTCTAAGTGTTCACTAATAATAAAACAAGTAGACATTATCTACTGTTCCCCCAGCTCCAGCCCTTATTAAAACCCAATATGCAAACTGTGTCACATGGTGACAGGCAAAAGTTTGTGTGTGTATGTATGTGTGTGTATGTGTGTATACAATAGGTACAAATGGCAATTAACAGTCCCTGCAAAAATTGTTTCATTTGACACTATGGCTTCTATGCCTTAGGATGGTTTTAGATTTCAAAATTTGAAAATAATGATAAAATCTCACTTCCTTAAGAGAAAATTTGATAGCATGTTCAGCTTTAAGCTTCTTAGTCTAAAAATGGCTAGATATTAAGTATAAAACGCCAACTGATTTCTCCCCAGTTTGGCCAAGCTAGCTGGTGGAAATGATTACTAACTAGCCGGGGAACTGTAGCAGCTCCAGCGGTTCTCGCCTACCTTATTGTCCATGTTCACGTTTCAAACTGTGTCAACAAAGCCCGCACTTCAGGGGTCAGCTGCTTAGCAGCCTTGGCTGCCTCTGTTATAGCCCTGCGATATAGACCCTTTCTCTTCTTATTAAAACGTAACTGGAAGTTTTCTAGAAAGGGGCAGAGTTGTGAAAGAGAAAGGAAAGATGTTGTTGGAGACGCAAACCATGAAATACAGGCCTCCTGTCGGGCTAAAAGGCCATTATCTTTCCGGCTTACAGTTATGGTAAGAATACGAGCTGGCCACCACGGGAAGCCATATATCTTGGCCCAAACAATGTCCCCTACACATATGGTCCTGCCATCTGGTGTGATACATTTAGAGACATTTTTGGAAAAGATTTTCATTTTCAAGGAATTACTGAGGCTTTTCTCTTCCTTTGAAGAGGAAGTAGAAGAGGCAGAAGGTGCATGCATACAGCCTGGAGGAAAAGCAAAGCTCTCGGAAGAGCTACACTCAGAGTTGGAAGATTTCAAATCATCCATGCTATCAATGCTACATACTGAAGCACTGGAAGAGTCAGATTTCTCTTGATTTAGGGTCAAGTAAACAGAGATATTGCTTTTGCTGCCCTTTTTGCCCAATGTCTGCAGTTCCTCCTGCTCACCAGGCACATGCACTTTGCTTGTGTCCTGAACCTCACTGGTGGCCTCTTCAGGGCCTTCTGAGGGACTCTGATTTTCTGAAGGGGCCTCACCTGCTGAGCGGGTGGAGGTGCAGCGAGACTGCGGCTTAGGGGCCAGCTTGCCACTTCGAATTTTCTCCAGTCCTGTCTTCAGAGAGGAGTCATTTTCTTCGTTCCTGTACCTTTGTGGTTTTAAACGCACTCGAGGTGGGAGGGAACCTGAGCTAGGATTTTGATAGCGGCGTGTGAAATGAACTTTCGAGTGTGCATTTTTGGAAGTGGAGGTTTCACTTTGCTTCTTTTGTGCCTTTTCTTTGGCAATTTTCAATACTTCCCGAGCTTTTGCATGATCCATGTTCTTGCTCTGGAGCACTTTCTTGGTACTTAACTGAGCTTTTGACGTATTTGCCTGAGCAGAGACTTTGACTACTCTGCCTCTGCTGTGAGCAATACTGGAAACCCTCACCACAGCATTTCGTCTCTGACTTTCGTTTTGGTTTTTCCCATCCACTTTATGGTCAGTTTTCAGTTTTTTGTTCACAGTAGCTACACTGTCATTTCTCCGTTTTTTATCTTCATACCTAGAAGAGTCACTGCTACCTTTCCTAATTTCCTTCTTTTCTGCAACAACACTGTTTTTACACTTATCACACAGGACTTGCCTGGGCCGTAGCTTAATCGCATTCATTATTGAAGTGGGTTCTTCCCTGTACATTTTTCGTTTGGGTCGCTTAATTTTCCGAGGAGGCGGCTGAGGTATTGATTGGTTATATGTGTCCCTGATAAACAAGGGGGGAGGATAAGGTGCTCCTTCGTGAAAGAGAGGAGGTGGTTTGGAAGTCCACAGGCGCTCAGGAGGAGGGACTGGAGAAAGGTCATCGGGAACAGCACCATTCACTTCCCGCTTGACTTCTATCCCTTCTTGGAATGTGTTACTTTGGAGCTGCATGGCGTCCGGTTTGTCCTTATATTCCCTTTTGGGAAATACTGTCACAGGGATCCCATGGGGCCCAAACCTTTGAAGGAAATGGAAGAACAAAAGGAAGCTCGTGAGTTGACATTTATAATTCAACATCTTAAATGTAAACGACTTCATACATACCTATGCAACAAAAATCAAAAATATACTATTGCTCTCTCCAAAGTTAACAAAAATCCCCACTTCTTTTGGTCCTACACTTTAGAGAAAATCATAAATATCCAAATGGTTACCCTAGACAATACTAGAATAGATGACTTTACTTAAAATAGATCTTTCTGTTATCAGACAGATGAGTATGAAATGCCATGTGATATTTTACTCATGGAACCAGGTACATTTTTCAGTAAATGCACCCATCCATTACATATAATCATCTCCCTCTGGTTATAACATCTCTTAGAAGTGTAATAAAGATAGGATGGTGGCACCTGTCTGCAGTCCCCACACCCATGATGCTGTTAAGGCAGGGAGACCTCAAGTTCCAGACCAATTTAAACAGCACAGAACTGATATTCAAATTATTTCCAATGCTGACAGACAGAACTGTATGGGTTCAAAGTTTGCTTTTACTAGGCTGTGTGCACTGGTGTCTGGCTCCATGAACATCTGTAAGCACTATGAGTGTAATGCCTTCAGAGGCCAGAGGAGAGTTCCTGGCAATGGAGTTACAGGCTATTGTGAGCTACCATGTAGGTGCTGGGGATTGAACCCCATTCTGGAAGGGCAGTTCTGTGTTCTCAACTGCTGAGTCATCACTTCAGTGTTATCATCCCCTTTAAAATCACATACTACATTCAGAAATAATTTCAGCTGAGCAGAGTAGCCACATCTATAGTGGCAGAACCAAGAAGGTGTGACAAAGTATTCTGAATCCGCAGTCAACTTGTACAACATAGCAAGGCCTCTTGTCTCAAAGAGAAAAGCAAAAAAAAAAAAAAAAAAAAAAAAAAGAAGGAAGGAAGGAAAGGAGAGAGAAAGAAAAAGAAAGAAAGAAAGAAAGAAAGAAAGAAAGAAAGAAAGAAAGAAAGAAAGAAAGAAAGAAAGAAAGAAAGAGACAGACAAGCAGTATTTTCAAACATAATCCAATTTAAAACCAGTTATATATGCCTAGATAGATCTCAGCTTCAGGAAATGTAACTGGTTTATTGTACCTTGGCTAAAATAAAGAAATGCAAATTTTTTATATTTGCTGCCTTCACATAAAAATGAAACCATATTCCAAGTAATCTCAGTGTACATCAGCATGCTTATTTTAAACACCAAGATGGCATCACCTGGCACAAGACAATGCTAAAGCCAGTCTTATAAGGCAAAATTACAGAGAACCAAAGGTCAGCAGCAGGCTATCCAATCAGGTAGCACCCTGCAAACTCAATGTCAATGTTTTCCATAGTTCAGTTTTCTTTTTTCAGTTTTTGTTTGTTTTTTACATTCTTGTCCTCTTAAATGTTCTCCAGAAGGTTCAGAATAACTTGTTAAGAATAAACCTTTGGCCAGGGGCAGTAGCGCATGCATATAATTCCAGCACTCAGGGAGGTAGTCAAGCAGATCTCAGTGAGTTCGAGGCCCGCCTAGTCTACAAAACACCACCAGGATAGCCAAGGCTGCACAGGGAAACCCCATCTCAAACACCCCGCCCCACTGCAAAACAACAACAACAAAAAAGAGTAAATCATTGGCCAGTTGTGGTAGCCCATGCCTTTAATCCCAGCAATCAGGAGGCAGAGCCTGACATACATATTGAGTTCTAGGACATCCAGGACTATAGAGAGAAAGCCTGTCTCAAAAACCCAAACAAACAAAAAGACAGGATCCTCTCAACTTCCTCTTTAAAAATAATAAATTATTGGCCTGAAGAACTTAAACATAATAATCTTTAATGATTTGTTAAATGTTTTGAGGTTGTGTTTCACTGTATATTCCAGGCTGGCCCAGCAGTTGCTATGTAGTACAAGCTGGCCTTAAACTCAAATCCTCCTGCCTCTGCCTCCTAAGCACTGGGATGACAGGCATGTGCCACCACACCCAGTTGATCTAAAGTGAAGTTTTCAGAGTGCCTATCAACTACAAATTTTAGTTTTGGCTGTATAAAATAAAATAGGGTGAGTTCCCAGCTCATGGATTCAGGTAATCCTCAACAAATTCATCAACAAATGTTAGGTATAAATATTACTTCTTTTATTTTTTTCTATTACTTCATTTAAACAGTTTTCTATTTCTCTAATATAGAGCTGAAATTCTCATACTTTACCTATCAATTACTTATACCCAGGTTCGATTTTAAAGTTTTTAAATTTATTTTAAAGCGAGGTGTGGAGGCATGGCACACACACATGCAGGTGTCAGACCCTCTGGATCTAGAGCTGCAGAAGCTCGTAAGCAGCCTAGTGGCTCTGGGAACCAGACTCAGGTCCCCTGAAACACCAGTAAGTGCTCTTAACCACTGGAACATCTCCCTGAGCCCCAAAATATTTAAATAATTAGAAAATTACCTCAAGGGAACAGAAAACAAATCACTTTAAGAGAAAAAAGAAAAGAGGGATCACATACCCTCAGTCATCACATTGCCACCTCACATGGACAGTTAAGACACTAGTTATGAAACTGATTTCCAAGAGTCACACTATGATTAAAGCAAAATCTGTGTCTCAGCATAGTCAGAGTAATATACATAACTAAAGTATGTCTGTTTTATGTATGTATAGATGACCACACATGAGTATTTCTTCTGCAGAGGTGAAGCAGAAGGACCAGGAGTTTGAGGTCAGTCTCAGATACGTGAGAGCCTGTCTCACCAGGAAGGTTTGAAAAAAACAGAACCCTGCTCTGTCTTGGCACTGAATCTTAAGTCTTCCCTAAACACAACTATAATCTGAACTTCCCATAAGCACTGTTGATTACGTTTTTCTAAAGCAGACATTTATGTCCCATATCAATGTTCTTCAGGGAGCAAGCTCAATGGAGGGAAGGTAGAATGGAATCTCTTGCATGCTCTTCATCTTAAAAAGCTGCTTGCAATTGCTCCAAGAACCAGGTGGTATGTGGAGTATCTTCTTCCTACCGCATGTGCAGCAGAGCAGATATTGGTGACTGTTCTAACCCTTTCCCATCTTCAGTCTTTAATTACCACAGAAAGTTCTGACTAGGAGCACACTTGAATGGCAGAGTATGCATTAGCATGTGCTAGATCCAAGGGATTCCATCTTCAGCATGGGGTGGGGGATGGGAGAAAAAAAATCTTCCAGACATAATGGTATATGCTTGCAACACAAGCACTCCAGATGCTGAGACAGAAGGACCTAGAGTCCAAGGCATCTTAGGCTGTAGTGCAAGACTCTAGCTCAAGGGGGGGGGGGGGGGAGAGCTTATAGCTCACTGCTTGCTTGGACATGTCTGGCATAGATTTCCAGCACCACACAAAATTAGTAAAAAAAATCTGTGAGGAAAAGTAAAGATCCAAGAGACCTCCGTACTGTTTTTGCACTTCCTGTGGCTACAATTATTTTAAATTGTTTTGAAAACTGACTCTTGAACAAGTAGCAAGTACCAAAGTTAAAGAAAGAGAAGGACACTGGTATTTAACATGTTTTAGTCAGAACAAGAGAAATCAGTGAAGAAGCCCCAGTCTAGGAGTTTAGAGATGTAGCTTAGTTGGTAGAAGGCTAACTTAGCATGACCAAAGCCCTGGGTTCAACAATGCAAATGCTGGGCAAAGTGACACAAACCTGGCTTATACTAGTAATCCTAGCATACTTGGGAAGTGAAGGCAGGAGGGTCAAAAGTTCATAAAAGACCCTGTCAAACAAACAAACAAACAAGCAAAGAAAAGTCCATAATACTTGCAGGAATAGATGACAGTGTCAGGTGTGTCAAAGTGATTTGAACTGTGAATGGTAGCATACCAGCTCCCCCAGACTAGTCAGGCAGAAGCAGGGAGATGCTCTGGGTCTTACTGAGCTACACAGTGAGTCCCCATCTTCAAAATCCAAAAGCAAGAAATGTTTTTTTTTTTTTCATTCTAGGATTTGGATCCCATTTAAGATAGGGATTTTATTTATGATTTTGCTCAAAATTTCTAGTACTACTAATCAACCCTATACTTAAACTCACATTGCTTCCTGGGTTAAGCTTAGAACCATTATCAAAATTCCTTTCCAGAATACTTGAAACCTAAGTGAAATGTTTACCAACAACTACCTAGTTTACGTCAGGTATACTTCTGGGTTTATTTTTTAATTTTCGGTTTTTTAAGGCAGAGTCTTGTAGCCCAGAGTTAGGTGGAACTCACCATGCAGCTCAAGCTGGCTTTTAACATGTGGCCGCTTAGTGCTGGATTACAGGCATGTGCCATACAACTAGCTCCCCTTGCATTTCTAATCTGATTTTGAAAGTTGTTCATTTTAATGATGGCAATGTTCATCTGCTGAACTTACCAGTACTCTCAACCAACTCATTTCTGTCCTCAAATTAATTATTTTTCTTCTGCTTAGAGAAGTTCAGCAGAACACAACTGATTCTCATTTGCTCCTCTCCCATTATTTTTGCCAAGAAGTAAATGTAAGAGATTCTTTTAAAAGTCATATACAAAAATACAGAAATGCAAAGATACTATAATCTACAGACAAGCATAGGAGTTGGAACAAACTAATCATTCAGAGAAAAGTTCAGGAGAGTTAGCTGAAACAGGTCCAAGTGCTCTAGATGAATCAAACTACCCTTTTGGCAAACAGAAAGTAAAAATGAAGTCTATAACCACTTGAACAGTCACATCTAGATTTGTTTTATTTCAAGCAGATGTGTACCTCTTCAGGTACTGGAAAAATAGTTCCATCAGTAAACTAAAGTTGCAGAAATGCTGAGGACCTGTGTTTATTCTCCAGCACCATGGAAAACACTGGAAGTGATGGTAAGTGTTATAATCCAGATTCAGGAGCAGATACAAACATAGGTTGATCCCTGGAGCTTGTTGGGTGCTGGCCTAGCCTCATCAGAGAGCCTCAGGTCCCAGTGAAACACTGTCTCAAAAGAAAAGGT